CTCTAGGGTGCCCTTGGGAAACAGCAAATTCTTGTCTTCTGATCAGATATTAAAGAAATGCAGACCATCAACCAGTTCTTTCTGAATATGCTGGAATATTTAAAGTCAGCGGTGTTCTAGCCAGCAACTCTGGGATGCTTTAAAACATGGTTGTAAGGGTGCAGGTTGTAGTTCCAACTTAGCTCATAAAAGTAAGCAGGAAACCAGGGATTTAAACTTTAAAGGACTATTTCATTAAGTTTTTATTAGAATAGAACCATGAAATAGGTATTGTTCATGTGAACTGTGAATTGTAGGTCACATCAAAGGAATAGGTTGATTGTACTGGGCCATATGCTCCCATTTCAGTGATTTCAAGGGCATTACTGGGTAGCATTTTATTGTACTAACCTGCAAGTCATAGTGTAACTTAAGTTATACATATTTTATGTCGGTTTTTTTACCTTTGCTTGCTTCTCTGGTCAGCTGTGAAGGTCACTGATTATGCAGTCTGTGTCAGTGTCCAGTCCTTATGTTGAACAGAGGCAGTGGAGTCTGTGCTTGGGGATATCAAAACCCTGAGTAGACTCAGCTCTGAGGGACTTTAGTTACCCCTGCTTGAACAGGGAGGTTGGAGTAGGTGTTCTCCAGAGCTGCCTTCCAATCTCTGCCACTCTGTGTCTAGCAGAAGAAAGCAGAAAAAAAGTGTTTGTCTGGGCAAACAGAATTTTGGAATTTCTCTAATTAAGCCTGTGAAGTGTCTTGTGTGGAAACTGTAGAATTGTTCTCAGGTAGACTCCTTGCTCTTAAAGATAAGAACAATATTCAGAGCATTTGGAAAGAACAATTCTTAATGAGATTTACGTTTTGCTGCAGTTTTTAACTGATGTTTACCCATTACAATGCAATAGACACTTAAATTCCAGTTTGTCTTCATCCCCTAGCAAAGCAGAAAATGTGCATGGTGAATCTTTCTACCGGGCGCTGATCAGCAGTGGAGTTTTTTTTTCCTTTTAAAGCTTTTTTGGGGTTAGTTAGTTAGTTGGTTAAGGTTAGACGGCAGAAAGATTCAGGAACACAGTAACTTAAAGAAAAATGCCATTAAGGATCTGGCAAAAATATTGTCATTTCTAAACCATGCCATGTATACACTCAAACGTTTTCAAGTTTCAGTGTGCTGACTCAGTGGGCATTTTAAAGAACAGCAGTGGCAGTATTATTGCAACCATAGTCTAAGGAAGAAAGTGATGCAGGGCTTGTAGGGAAAACAAGAGAATCCAAGTGGGTTTTTTTTGACAAAAAGAGGGTGTTGCCTGGAAGAGTGTCTCCCTGATGTTGATTTTTATTGGCTTATGGGAAGGCAAAAGGCAAACAGAAACAGTGACATTACCAAATGCATCTGTGGTCCAAAAAATGTTGTCTTTTTTCACTGTTTGAATATCCAAATGGGGTATCAGGAATATTACTCCTGAGTCATTATAGGACTTGTTTATTGTTCTCCTGTTTCTCTCACTTTTAAATGGAGGCATGGAATGTGGCAGCAAAAAGGAAATAAATCTGATGTGAAGGTATCTTTATCTAGGATGCTGCTTTCAGTAGAATTCTCAGCACTATAAAGCCTGTAAATCATGTCATAACATAAATCCTAAATTCCTAGATGTCATAAAACACTAGTAATACTTCAAACTGTTTCTTTCACTATTTTCCTGGGGGGGGTTAATTTTTGTATTTCCTCTATGTATTTCTCCACATTAACTCACATTTCTGGTTTAAATTGCTTTGCCTTTTTTTTTTTTTTTTTTTTTTTTTCATTTTCTGTGGTCAGTAGCAAGTCATTGATTTTGTACAGGCATCATCTGGATTTCCTGAAAGTACTGCAGGACCCAAATGTTTTCTTGGCTGTGATGCTGCAGGCAGCTGCCTGTGCTTATAACTGATTCTGTTCCTGACAGCTTTAAATAATTGCTGTTTGCTTGCCTGCAAGCCTTCACTGAAACTGAAATTTTTGCACAAGCCCAGATATATCAGGAAAAATGTGGACAAAGGATATGAAGAAAGCAATTTATTCATCGCTAACAGTCTATGAGTGCCTAACAATTTTTCAGTGGCTGGTCAATTGTGAACAGGGGCAGTGGCAGTTTCATAATGTGAGATTTGGGGTCAGAATGTCTACAGGACCTGTAGACCTCCTATTTGTTTTTCAGAAGTATGTCTGCACTCAAATAGACAACCAATGAATAGTTTATATTTCTTTTTCTGTTAGGAGTTTGCATTCAGGTTATTATTTATACAATGCTCATCTAAAGTGTAGCAGAACTAACTGACAGGTGGTAGTTTTGACTGGAATGAAGTAGATTTGATTTCAACTAACCATAAACTTAAACAGGGGCTTTTCAGGATTCCTCACCTGGATGAAACTTTTTGTGAGTGATTTTTCTTCTTAATTTCTTTTTTAAATGAATTGTCAATAGCTCAAATTATTTATAAATGACATTCATATTTGGCAAGGACTGCTGACTTAAAAATAATAATGGAATATATCTGATTGGAGGGGATCCATGAGGCTTGTTGAGTCCAACACCCTGCTTCTCACAGGGCTACCTAAAGTAAATCATATGACTAGGAGCAGCATCCATTCTTTGAACTCTGACAGGCTTGGTACTTTGGTCATAGAATCACAGAATCATAGAGTGCTAAGGGTTTGAAAAGGACCTTAAGGACCATCTAGTTCCAACATCCCCTGCCATGGACAGAGACAACTTCTGCTAGACCAGAGGTTGCCCCAAGGCCTTATCCAAACTGGATTGGAACTCTATAGCCTCCCTGGCCTTACCACCCCCACAGTAAAAAAACTTCCTCCTAGTATCTAAACTTTAATTTCCCCTCTTTCAATTTGTAGATTTCAATTTCTTCTCTGAATACTTATGGGAAAACATAAAGGCGTTTTACATATATCTCTGGACTAGGCAGTAGCTGGCTCTTAGTTTTCTGTTTGGGGGAATAGAGATGCATGTATCTGCTTGTTTTGTGCATGGTACTGACCAAGATACCAAGTGACTGGTGCAGGTTTCCATTCCAGCTGCATTCTGAAATTTGAATTTTCAATCATCTCCTCCTCTCTAGGTTAATCAATCAAAATTAACTGAATTCTGTCAACTGCTCTACTCTTTCTCCAAGTAAAGAAAAATGCAGTAATGCCTGACTCATGCTTGTGTACTATGTTTTTCTAAATAGGTGTAAATTTTTATATTTTTTGGCTTTGTTTTCTGGCTATGCATCAGATACCCAAGAACTTTCTGGAAGAAAACACTTATAAATTTTTCACAGGAATCTCTCTGGTTCTAATATAATAGACTTGTACTGAGTCTTGATTAAGTCCTAAATCAAACTCACAAAGGGTGCTGCTCACCCAAATGACAGTGAAATAATTTTTCCATGGCTACAGCTAAAGGAGTTTATAGTATAATGTAAGGACAGATAGACAGTGGCAGAGGCAGACTCTAAAGAAGACACACAGAAAGGTGGGCATAATGGTGTTCGGACATGTTTTTAAAGGATCCAAATAAATTTAGGCTTATAAATATGCCAGAGAGTTATATCTTTCTCATGGAAGTTAATAATTAGTTTGAGTGTTGGAAAATGAAATTCTCATTCAATTATCGTAGCATAAAACTATTTTCACTGTAGTTGGGAAGTGCTGACTGTGCACTGAGGGGACAGTGCAAAGTCAGTCTCTGCTCTGTTGCTGCTGTTTCTTTTACACCTGAAAACTGTGTCATGGGGAACCCCTGGAGCTTGTTCTTCAGAAAACGACTCTGAATTAGATTCCTCCCTGTGCCAGCAGACATCCTTTCAACCAAGGAAAATATTCTGCTGTCCTTGAACTGTTAACCTATGAGATGGAATAGCCAGCTCAGTGTGTTTGCCTAAGTCCACTTCTCAAGAGTCAGGGGCTGTTTGCTGACCTCCTGGCCAGGAAAACTGCTTCCTATGTGCTCTCGACCTTATTTGTTCTCTTTTACTTGCAGCTCTGCTACAACTGAAATTTTCCACGAGTTTAGCTCTGAATCACCTGAATACACAAACCTTTCTAGTCATAGTTCACAGGGAAGGTCAACACTATAACTGAAAATAAATTAATTTGGCAGAGATGTCTGTGTCTCTGCTGTGCTGCCCTGGTGGGAGTCAGGGGTGGGTGACTGTGTTTCATTAAAAGAGGTTCCTCCCCAAACTGGATTTGTTAGTGAAACTCTAACTATGATGCTGTGCTTGTCATCTAGGTAGCAAGTGGGTATTTCTGTAGAAGCTTGGTAACAACAATCACATCTGTACAGCTGTGGATGCTTTCTATGCATAGTGTTTATTTGATTGAGGTTTTTTTTAGACTTGTCTTCCCCTGTACATCTGTATCAATAATTTTTTTTATATTATATTTGGTAAACTCAGACCTATCAAATGAGGGGCAAAAATTTATTTGGGGTAAGTTTGTTCTAACACTCAATATGCTATTGGGAAATATGTCATCTAAGTGTCTCCGTTTGTAAACAGCCTGTCTTTAGCTGAAAAATGGGTTTCATGGAGAAAGCTAGAGAATGAACATGGAAAAGCAGAATAGAAAAATCCTGGAAAATAAGAAGCAGTATTGCTTTTCCTTTCATTGCTGTTGTCTGCTTCTGGGAATTAGATTAAGTAAACCTAGAAGACAGGACAGGAGAAAGAAAAGACATCCAAAATTCATACTTGCATTAATGGAACAATACCCTGAAAGGGAAATCATGCCAGAAGTTGCATCTGTGCCTTTTGCAAGATGATGATAAAAAAGCAAAAGAAATCTCTCCATTTTCAAGATAGCTTCAAAAAGAAAGCAACCAGACATGGAACTACGTCCCACACGTCATTGCCAGCAGCTCTTGCATGTGATGTCCTTGGATGCCCTAAAGATTAGCCAGTCTCATCCATCTGGCCCATGTCACAGGGATCAAAGGCATTTTTCCCTCTACAAACTTAAGCTCATGGTAAGTATATCCTTTTACTAAATTGCACAATATTTTCATAATAAACAGTTACTGCTTTTTATTTTGTAATTACACTGAAGCACAAAGTTATTTGTGTCTACCAATTGTCATGAATTTGTTAAATGAAGGAAAGGCTGTAATACAGTCTAAGAAAGATAGTTTTGTAAAGGCTATTATGAAGTACAGGAGTTGATATTCCTTTCTTTTCTTTTTCAGCTCTCTGAAAGTGAAGAGAACAAATTTCAAGTTAGAGTCTGAGAAGATTAATAGGGACATCTGACTCTTGTGGGGGCAACAGTCCTCTCATGTGGCAATGCATTATGAGCAACAAAAAAGGTATCCTTTAAAATTACTTTGTGTTCTCAGTATGAACAGACAGAACACATGCCTTGGGAAATTTACATCCACTTTTTATTTTCATCAATTAGGAATCTGTTAAAAAATCACACAAAAAGCAAAAAAGTGCAGATTTAATCTGTGCTTTGGTGATCTCAATGTATTCACCCATCTTGAAGTTTCTCCTGCTGTAATTTTACTGATTTAATCAAATGGCAGTTTTTGTAGGTCAAGAACATTTTCCTTCTTTGTTGAGGTACAAGGCCTTTTCCTTCCAGTTACTACATCTCACTTACAGTTCCTTTACAGCAGAAATCCAGAAATTGGATGACGTTTCAGCCTCTCAGTGGTCGTTGACTCAGGACCAGATCGAGCAGAGAATAAGGTCACATTTTAATTGGAAAGGCATCTGATTGTCAGCTGCAGCCTGTGAAAGATCAAGTCGAGGACCTAAAACCGAATAAGTGTTTTGCACTTGACTGATGTGCAATTCATGTTTGCATTTTGGTCTGGTTTCACAGACATTAAATGAGAGTCTACATTTGTGGTGGCATGTAGTCAAAATTGCTCTTGGCCAGCTGGATACCACATGCCTTTCTTGAATTCAAAGAATTATTACACTGGATCATTAAACTTCTAATTTAATGCTCATTATACCTGAAGAAATTATTTTCCTCTCTTGCTGCTGTGTCCTTTTCTGCTTTTCTTACTGCAAGTTTAATAGCTACCAAACCTTATCTTCCTCTTAAGAAGAAACAACTGCTTTTAATATAACAGAAAACATGTATTATCGAGAAATCAATGATTCTGTCATTCTAAATGTGCTGCCATCAACACTGAAGATAAAGCTTGATCTCATTTGGATTCTGAATTACTAAAGGTATGGGACATCAAAATGTTTTCCCTAGAAGCCAAAGAAGGTGGAACAGTCTTCTCTGGTCTCTTCTTCTTGACTTCTCAGAAGATTCTGTATGGCCAGGAAGCTGTGGTCCTTGAGATGTCTGTGCTGACACTTACCTACAAGCCACTTATGCAGTAACTATTTCTTAAATTCTTTTCTGAAATGTAAGGATGGCATTTTCTAGATGTACTTCCATGTAGGCACATCTCCATCTTTACTGGTTTCCCAGCTGAATTTCTGCTCAAAGTGGGCTGATAGAGGTGAGTGTGAATCAAGCACACAGCTGGGCACTCCTCATACTCTTCTGTATTTCCACATGTAGCTGACTGTCATTGTGGGGGGACTTCACTGCTCTTTGTAGATGATTTACCTTCTGCAAGAAAAGGGTCACATTCTGAGTAAGCAAGAAAAACCATCTGTGTGCAGTGAGAAGAGCGACATGAAGATTTCAGTGGCTCATCCAGGCTTTGCTAAAATGTCATGGGAGTTTGGAAAGAGTCTTAAAGTAGGACTAAGATGCATGGTGTTAGAGGAGGCTTGTGATGCAAAGAGTCTATAGATACACTATTACAAAGTTCATATAAGACTCTTCTGTTTTAGCTGTGCTCTGTTGCTGTCTTTTTACATGTCAAAGAGCCTTTCTGCTTACAATATAATTTTAAGAAATGTACTTGTTTCTTTCCTATAGCACTAAAGATATCCCAGTGCCTCAGGCTACATACTTGGGAGAAGAATGCTCTTGTGTAATGTGAAAATAAAGCTTACTTTGGTTACTTAAGACCAAATGGACTATATAGAAATGTCTTTTACAAACAGAAGTGAAGAAATGAAAACTAGACTTCCTCTTCTTACACCTAGATTAAATCAGGGAGGTCTGTGTCTGCCTTTATCTTGCAGAGAGGCTCTAAATGCTTTCCTGATGCACACCTTCTAAGAAATTCTTTTATCTGTGCATGTCTTACGTTTCAGGTTTGCATGCATCAAAGGGAGCCTATTCCTGGCAGAAACCATTAGCTGATCTTTAGCAAGTCCCTCAAAGGATCTGAATGGGCTTAATCTTTACTCTCAACACATGTACTTCTTTTCTCCTCATACTCGTTCAATATATTTCAGTCATTTAGCGAAAATGAGGGGTCTTAATGTCTTAGACCAAGCATTAATCTCCTGCAGTACACTGGCTGTTCAGTAGCTTCTCGACTTAATGAATATTACCTTCTCTCTGATTGAGTGTCTCCATCCATGTAAGTAAATAGTTTATATTTGAGCAGCCTGGGCTAGTGGAATGTGTCCCTGTTTATGGCAGGGGGGCTGGAACTAGGTCATCTTTCAAGTCCCTTCCCAGCCAAACCATTCTGCCAATCTATGTTGAATATGCTTAGTATAAACACCTAAGTGGTGCAGAGATATGCAGATCACTGAGACCTGTTAGGCTGGTAATTAAATAGTTTGGATATCATAATAGATTTGGGATAATGAAGCCTTACAAGCTTTATTTTCCTATGTAACAGCGAAAGGCAGAAATAAGATTGGAAGAGAGTAGTGGGAAAATATTCTCAGAGGTACTGGGAAGGGTACTGGGAAATCATAGAAGGAAGGGGAGAGGAAGAACTCAAAGACAAAAGCAGGACAAAAAGGTAAAGGCAGTGGCCTGAGGAAATTGAATTCAAAATCAGCCCACTGAAAAGGGCAGAAGACAAAGGAGAGAAAGTGATGTGATTAAAACTTTGAAGAAAAATGTCCATGAGAAGAGGGAGGAGAAAAGGAAATGCATAAATGAAAGAAGGCCATGAGAATGTATATAGCATTTCAAACTAGATAATTTGTCTTTTTCCGATTTTTTCTTATTTTTATATGAAGGAAGCACAATTTTGCAAAGTAAAGACTGAGAGGGAAGAGAGATGCTGTATATGTGTGTGTGTAAGTGGTCTAACTGCCTTTGAATAGGGTGGAATAATGATGGATAGTGAAGGAGAATAGTATCAGCTAGTCACATTATGAATTTTACTGATAACTGAGGTATTTTGAAGTTATAATGGCAGAGTGAGCTTCAGCGATCCAGATTTTAGAGGTCCACAGTGACCTACTCTGAGCTGGCTGGCTGAGGGTTATTTTATTATCATGGGAAGAAATAACCTCTTTTTAAGAGGTTGAACACTGCACTTACAGAAGTGTTCCCTGCAGAGAGCTGAGTCCCATTTGAAAGATGGGCCAATAATATATATTCTGTTTTATCAAGTGTTCAAAAATATTCATAATTTTCATTAAAATTGTTCCATAATGACTGTTTCAAATGTCAATACTGTATTCCCCTCAACTGAGACACTCCTCTTATCTTCCCTCCTGTCCTTCTTTTGACATGGGAGAAACAGTAGGGATTCCATTATTGCAGCTCAGCTCAATGTAAAGGAGAACTAGTATTGGAAAACTATTGAGAAGATCTTGGATATTATTATAAGATTTCCTTGGCATTTAATAGCATTCCAGAGATATTGAATATACTCACTTGTCTGACCGCAGCTGCCAAAACCAGGGATACAAGACCCATGAACTCCTTGTTTTGGGAGGATTTCTTTCTCAGTGAAAACATTTATTTACAAATGCACAGATACTATGATGGTTAAGTTATTTTGAAGGGTCTCTATAGCTTGATATGCTTGATAATCTGCTTTGGATACTGCCAGAAACTGGCTGAGCTTCAGAAATGCCAGTTTCCTTTCTCAAAGGGAGCTGTCTCCTGGGAATACCACGAGACCTCCTGAGAAGGTCTTTGGGTCATTGCAGCTCCTCTTTGACTGGGCTGCTGGATATCTAGGAGCTTTGAACAAATAGTGAAAGTCAGTGACAAAATAAAAAAAGAGTGGGAGAGTAGGAGTATAAGTTGTCCCTCCCCAACAGCAGGGTAGCCAAGGATGTGAACCAGACTATATATTTTATACATGGTTATTTCTGCTACAAATCCTTATAACCAGCCCTTCAGAGAAAAATCTATCCTAGTTAGGCACAAGATAAGTGAAAGCCCAAGTTCTACATTTGCTTGTAACAGAGTTCTTTGTGTAAATCATTCTGGCTTATACTCTCACTTGCTTTTAATACATCACTTTAGAGTTGTTACTTTTTGTGATGGATAAAATGCATTCACAAGATGCACTGGATTTTCCCCAGTGTAACACAGGTTGTTTGCAATGGCAGAAAAAAAATTGAATGTTGCCTCCTCACAAGACTACTTCAAGTCAGTGTTACCATTTGTCATAGTCTGTACTGAGTAGCTGGAGCATTCACTGCCATGAGAAGGAACCAGGCTGTCTCCTACATTTATATTCATTCATATTATACAGAATTGGGTGCCTGCAGTAAATGTGTAGATTCTTGCTTCTAACAGTCCCTGTGGGTCAGACTGGATTCTGCCACAAACTTTGAGACTGCCAAATCATTGACATGCATGCCTCAGTTTACCTAATTGCAAAACAGGGACCATGATACCTGCCTCCCATAGGCAGTTCTATGGTGGCCTGCAAGTAAGAAATTGTTATCTCTAGAAACACTTTTGGAGATTTTTTTTGTCTGTGAGAAGGTTTATTTTTGAAGACAACCATGTCTGAGGAGATAGAATAACAGACTTTGCTGCAGGAACCATGAGGAGTGGGTTTGGGGAAGGGTATTATAGTATTATAGTAACAGGGCTCTGAACTTGGAATTCAGAGTTGTGTCTTAGGCCTGAGGTGACAGGAAAACCCATCATGAATTACAGCCATCTAATTTCAGAAGTGCTAACATGATTTTTTGTAACATTCATAAAGAAAAATAGCATGCTATATGTAAAAATGGTGAAAACATTCTATTTTATTCAAGATATTAAATGTAAAAGCATGAAAAGGATGAAATTGTTTCATTTGTAGCATTCAGTACAATGTTCAGGAGAAGGGAACAGAAAGTAAGGCAAGAGAAAGCTCTTGAAAAATTGGTGTGGTTTAATATAACAGGAAATGAAAGAGAAAATGAAGCAATTTGAAACAGAACAAAATCTAAAATATACCTGGTTCTTATTTCAATAAGATGACAAAATGTTTATGTATTTGTTTAATAACACATTCTTACAACT